CCGCTGAAGCGTCGACCATTTCTGGCTGGCAACTTTCAGTGTCATTAAGCCGCTGCGCCACTGCGTCCCCATGTACTAGGTATATAGTTCAAAAGAATATGATTCTCTGAAAATTTTAGCTTTTGTCACACAATCATATTTATATAGTCCACTACTTTCTCCCAAAACTTAGTAAGTATAGGACATTGTAAACACATATGCTTTAAAGAGGCATTGTCCTTATTACATCTCCAACAAAACGCTGTTTTTGACAGTCCTTTTCTATATGGTCGTAGTGGAGTCCAGTAAATTCTAAATATTATTTTTTGTTGTATAAGTGATAGTTTGAGATCCATTGGCACTCTTGCTATAGAAGTTAAGACACTCTCCCATTGTCTAGGCAATAAAGAAACCTCTAATTCTTTACTCCACTCATCCCTTAATATCTGCATATCAAATTGATTTATTGATAATATCTATACAAACTAACAGTAGATTTTTTTTAGTTTTAAAGGATTTAACAAGTTGTTCTAATATCTCAGGTGTCTCGGAAGCTGAAAATGCTGCTGCTCGAAACAATGTTGTTAACAAATATTGTAACTGTAAATATTGCCATTGGGTTACATCTGATAGATGATATTTATCTCTTAACACAGAATACATTAACATTCATCTTCGTCATCTGTCAGTTGGCCCAATGTCAATTTGGCCCAAGTCCCAGGGCCATCCAATTTTTCCATATCACCATATTTTTCCCAATTTTTGAAGCTGGGTTTTTCCCAATAAAGTCAATTTGGCATGGGGAAAAGGGTGAAATCTTTTTTTTTTTTATTAGACATTACATAGCTTTCTGATTAAATTGTTTCCAGAGATATTAGAGTTTTAGTATATTTCGATCCTAATACTGTCCATCCAACCAGAGGTGCTATATATGTATATTCCAAAGTAGCCCAAGTTGGAAAATTTACACCACTTGTTGGCTTCCAGTATTTAATACTTGACAATAGATAAGCATGATGGTATAGCTCCAGATTCAGAAGACCAAATCCTCCCTCATTAATGGATAATTTCATTTTCTGTAAAGATCTTGAAAAACCCCTTAGAAATTTTCTAAATAAAGAATTTATTTTCTGAAAATATTTCCCATATATAAATACTGTAGTTCCTCTCAGAATATAAATTAATCTGGGAATAATATTCATTTTAAGAAAGTTTATCTTTCCCCAAAGGGTGAGGTTTAATGACTCCCATCTATTGATATCTGAAGAAACCTCTCTCTATATTTTATTTATATTACATGTTGCTAACTGAGTTATATCCTCTGGTATAGACATACCTAAATATTTAATAGATTCGGTACAAATACGGAATTGATATTCCTTAAATGAATGGATAACTAAGTTTTCACCTATTGGCATCAATTCCGATTTGGACCAGTTAATAGAGTATCCTGCTATTTTACTAAAGGCATCTATTGTCTGCATCAACCCTGGAGTAGTAGTGTGAGGTTTAGAAAAGAATGTCATCCACTGAGTTGTCTACTACTCCATAGATCTCCCTGTGTTGTCTAATAGCACAAGCCAAGGGTTCCACACAAATGTTAAAAAGCAAGGGTGAAAGTGGACATCCTTGTCTAGTTCTTCTAAATAGTGGAAAAGTAGGAAAAAATATACCATTTACTTTAGATGTGGGTGGCTCATGTAATATTTTAATCCATTTTATAAATTCCAAAGAAATCCAAATCTATTTAGTACAGCAAACATATACTGTTTATGTATTTTGTCAAAGGCTTTT